CTCCGCACTCTCAACTCGATCCACCGAGCTGTACGGACTAAGATGATGCTGACATAGGTACGTGCCTATGCTAGAAGTGCTAATTCTAGTAATCATGCTTACTAAGGCCAGTAGTTAGTATACCATAAGTAATGCCTGTGTATTCTTTTTAAGGAGTCGCACCCAGTATGCACTCCCACTCTGTGTGAGGTGATAGTGATTAGCATTTGGATAATAATAGAGCGCTTGTAGAGTAGTGCACAAGTCCTACCATGCCCTGTTGTCGAGCATTTTGCCGTCTATAGACTACATTTAGGCCTAATACAGTATCTGTATGTAGTAGTACGACAATACAGTACCCGGTAGGTATAGTAGGACAGTCTAAGTCAGTGCAACAGGAATAGGACAATATAAGTGATGCTGATAGTATCAATGATACTGGCGATAGTATCACATCAGGGCTTTCCTTGGTTTCCGCCCTCTCAACTCTGTCCATCAGGCTGTGTTAACTTATTGTTAAAAAGGCTTCATAAATTAATGTCGCAGGTTCTGTCATGTCCCATGGTGTTACGGTAGCCTTTGCGCTGGTACTACTCCACTGGTTGCCCTTACTCACCCATAGTAGATGCCCAGAAATATTCGAGGCGCCCGAGTCTCGTATTTCTACAGCTACAACTACTGCTTATACTGCTGCTTCTATCGGTGTATCTGAGTGAACTTAGTGCTGCTAATATTTGGTCAGAAATGTCACTGATTGGAGTCAGGTCTGGGGCCGTGTTCCCTTGATCTCATATAGGAGTGTGGACCTGGACTTTTGCTATTCCCAGTAGCGCAGGTGTTTGGAGTTCAAAGCACATCAGTGCTTGTCCTGGTTGTCTCCTAAGTTTATGCTGCTAGGGCTAGGATACTATTGTTAGAAGTGCTGCGCCTATGCTAGAATTGCTACTTGCTAAAACTTGTACGTACATGTACGAAATCTTAACCTAATATGCAGTCTTAACCTAATAGTACAAATAGTTCAGAAATATGACGTGCAACCTATTTTTACCAATTCAGTATAACAGCTTGAGACTGAGCATATTAGTTGGGGTGATTATATCTCATCCAGCAGGTAAGCTATTTAACTAGCTTCACATTGTGACTGCTACGACTTGTGCTTCTACTGCTAGGTTTTTATGCTCATAGCACTCGTAGCGGCAGTGTTATTTCTATTTAACTGATAGTGGGAGAGTGAAAGTACCA